GGGGGGGAGGGGGTCCTCAAAGTGGCACACCTTGGCGGGCGGCACGCGCGCGCGCCCCGCCGACACGTCTAGCTGGCGACACGCTCCTTTTCCGCAGCTAAGTAGTAGGCGGGCTGGCGTGACAAAACACACACACACACACACACACTAGTACACAAGCAGGCACACATAGACACAAGTCGTAAGGGGCAGGCGAGGAAAGGCTTGTCTGAGGTCACTGAGCCGCTTGGCAGCCGGCTAGCTAGCTAACCGTAGAGCGCTCTTACGTCCATCCGCCTCCGGGCCACACCCGAGGCGTGTGTGTGTGTGGCGCCCAGCTTGGAGGAAGCAGTAGCAGCAGCAGCGGCGGCGGCAACAGTCGCCGCTGCTCTCACGCAAAAAAGGAAAAAAAATATATAAAAAGGGGCCCATGCAGGCGCCTTTTGCACTAATTGATAATTTCGCCAAACGCCGGCGCGCCGCCAGGTTCTTCTTTATCCCACTTCCCCTCGTGTTTTGTTCCCGCCACGGGAAGTTGCGCTCACGCTCACGAAATGAAAACCGCTCACCTCAGCAGGCAGGCGTCGTCGCGCGATCACGGAATGGCGAAAACATGGGGAAAAACAAAAACAAAAAAGGGGGACGAAAAGGGGTTAAAACATGCGCGAGCAGCGAACCCCGCGCACAGCTGGAGGAGAAGGTACCGTATCCTCGCGGGGGGGGGGGGGGGATAAAGGGGACACACACAGAGTGTAAAAGGGGTGGGGAAAGAGGGGGAGGGGGGCATTTAGAGAACAGGGAGGAGGAAACAGCCCGTGGTGGCGGAGCTCACGAGAGGAAAGGTCAGGCGATGCGAGTCACACTGAAGGCGCACGACGCGGGGGAAGTACCAAGTACCGCCCCGAGGACCCCGACGGCGGCGAGGGCCTTGAGGGTGGGGGGCGCTGCGCCACGAGTCTGTCACCCACAAAGGGAGGCCCAACCACCGCACTTGTCGTGTCGTGTGTCCTCGAGGACGTCGCAGGGAGAGAGAGACACAAGTAAAGCACGACTGGCCGGGGGGAGGGCGGCGCGGTGACACCCTGCGGTGACACGACCCGCCGCCGCGGGGGCGGGGGCGGGGGGAAGGGCAGGCACAACTACTCCAGAACAGGAGCCCGGCAAGACCAAAGCAGCATGAGGTGTAGGGGTATACAGCGATTCCACGGGTTCCACGGCGTGGGCGGGGCGGGGCGGCCAGCCCACAGGACGGAAATTAGGAATGCCCATTTTCTGGTCGAGGAGCGCCAGGCAGGGCAGCCAGGGCCGGCTCACTCCACCTCTCACTCCACTCCAGTTCGACCGCACCGCATCGCCACCGCCACGCCGCGACGCGCCTCCGCTTCGACGGGGGAGAAGAAAAAGGAAAGAAATAATAAAAATTCTAACGCTAACGCGTTAATCGGCCCCTGAAGTTTTAACGAACAATCGTATGCATACGAAGAAATAGTCATTTAATTAATCACTTCAATAGCTTCAGCGTTCAAAATTAGAAGAGAGGGAAGTCGTCAAAACTTGATGGTTAGTGTTGTGGCTCTTCGTTCTGAAGTCACCACAATAACAAAACCAACAGCGAGG